TACATGGATACCTCAAGAAATGTAGAACCCAGTGTCAGACACCTTTTGTGAGTTAGGTTGGAGTGTAGCTGCAATGGTCCAGGAAATATCTGAGATGCAAGGATTTTTTGTGATGATCTTTTATTGCACCAATTGTATAATTAGGAGAGCTGTTGGGTAAGCTTTTAGGCATGTCTGAAAGGCACTTCATGCCTGAAAACGTGTACAATAGCTTTCCCAACTATACAATGGATCCAATAAAAGATCTCACAAAAAATCCATGCATCTGGGACCTTTCTTTCCTATCCCAAAGTACCTTCATAGAATAGTACATATAATAAAACAACTTTTATTTTTTTTAAACTCACTAAAATATTGTGTCTAGACTGCATTTGATTTTTTTAAAAGATTCTTTTTTTTTCATTGGTGTTCATAATGAAAAGTTTCTCTTCAGCAGGAGAATTCCATAAAGAAAGACCATCTTCAAAATGTCTGACATTATCAACATTATCAGTTGGTGTCAAAAGCGGTCCCCAAATGGTCTTTTCAAACTATATCTTATCTCCTACAGTTTTCAATTCCTTTCTGAATCCTGACCCAGTAACTGACAGTGATCTTTCCTAAAATCATTTCACCGGGAACAATGGGAAACTGTTTCTGTTTTTAGAGGGCAATTCTTTGAAAGTTTCTCTGTAGGAAAGTTTATGAATCAGTTATGCATGCTAACAAATACTAACAGATAAACTTTCAGTTATGAAAAATAACAGCAGAAATGACAACCCTGAGGACTGTTGCATCAGATCTACTTAACAGTAAAAGTACGGGAAGAACGAGAGAGGAGGTTTGTGTATGCCCACATACAGAGAAGAATGTGGGGTTTACAAGCAAGGGGATAACTGTAGTATGTGCAGTGTGCATGAAATGTGCATGCAAGGGGAAGTAGAGAGTAAAATGTAAGAAAAATCTGAAAGATAACGTAAACACTAGAGGTACATTCCAGTGGCTCTGCATTGATCTGGCAGTACAACAGCAAGCAGCTCTAAACCCATATTAACTAGCCAGATGTCACACCACAGTCTTGAACTTAGAACCTCAGCCTAGTCAACACAGCCACTTGCCCCAGCTTGTTACCTTATGATTAAGTACCCAGACTGATCTAGGATGGCCTGAAGCCTCCAGCAGGGCCCGACCCTGTCACCAGAGTAGCTGGCAATGTTCACTTAATAATTCTTAATAGGGCTGTGCAAAGCTTCGGTTGGTGCTTTGATTTGGAGGAAATTCAGCCTGATTCGGTGGCCAAATCTCTGAATTGGAATTGAATCAGGGGACCAATTTTAAGGTCCGAATTGATTCAAAGCTCTCCAGATCTTTGGAAAAGATTCAGACAGCTTTGATGATTTGGGCAGTCCCCAGTGGCTGCAGCAGAAACTGCAACCACTCCAAACTGGTAAATATTAGGGGCAGGGGAGAGGGAGGGGACCATGGAGGGATCCCTGCCAGGCCCCCAACCACCCCACTCCCCCAGCAGTCCCCAACCCCCACCC